AAAAGATATGAGGAAATGATAAGAAGAATGGATAACTTAGAGGGGAATATGAATGAATTAAAGGAGCTGAAAACACAATATGAGAACTTCGCGAAGCATGCACAAGTTTCAATAGCCGAATTGACTAAGCAGAAGAAAGAATATCTGAAGTCGAAGACCAACTCAATGAAATAAAATGAGAAACCAAGATTAGAGAAAAAAGTGCAAAAAGGAATGAGCAAAGTCTCCAAGAAATGTGGGACTATGTGAAAGACCTAACCTACGTTTGATAGGTGTACCAGAAGGGGACAAAGAGAATGAATCCCAGCTGAAAAATACTCTTCAGGACATCATCCAGGAAAATTTCCCCCACCTACCAAGACAGGCCAACACTCAAATGCAGGAAATACAGAGAACACCACACAGATATTCCGCAAGAAGAGCAAGCCCAAGGCACATAATCGTCAGATTCAACAAAGTTCAAATAAAGGAGAAAATACTAAAGGCAGCCAGAGAGAAAGGTCGGGTCACCCACAAAGGGAAGCCCATCAGACTCACAGCAGATCTCTCAGCAGAAACACTAAAAGCTAGAAGAGAGTGGGGGCCAATATTCAACATTCTTAAACAAAAGAACTTTCAACCCAGAATTTCATATCCAGCCAAACTGAGCTTCAGAAGTGAAGGAAAAATAAAATCCTTTGCGAACAAGCAAGTACTCAGAGATTTTGTCGCCACCAGGCCTGCTTTACAAGAGCTCCTAAAAGAGGCACTACACATAGAAAGGAACAACCAGTACCAGCCATTCCAAAATCACACTGAATGCTAAAGAGCATCAACATAATGAAGAATCTACAACAGCTAACAGGCAAAACAGCCACTTAGCATCAAAATGGCAGTATCAAATTCACACATAACAATATTAACCCTAAAGGTAAATGGACTAAATGCACCAATCAAAAGACACAGACTGGCAAATTGGATAAAAATCCAAAACCCTTCAGTGTGCTGTGTCCAGGAAACCCATCTCACATGCAAGAATACACAAAGGCTCAAAATAAAAGGATGGAGGAAGATTTACCAAGCAAATGGAGAGCAAAAAAAAGCAGGAGTTGCAATTTTTATCTCTGATAAAATAGACTTTAAAGCAACAAAGATCAAAAGAGACAAAGAAGGCCATTACATAATGGTAATAGGATTGATACAACAAGAAGAGCTAACGATCCTGAACATATATGGACCCAATGCAGGAGCACCCAGATACAGAAGGCAAGTTCTTAATGACTTACAAAGAGACTTAGACTGCCACACAATAATAGTGGGAGACTTTAACACTCCACTGTCAATATTAGACAGATCAACCAACAGAAAATCAACAAGGATATCCAGGGCCTGAACTCAGACCTGGAGCAAGCAAACCTGATAGACATTTACAGAACTCTCCACCCCAAATCCACAGAATACACATTCTTCTCAGCACCACATTACACCTACTCAAAAATTGACCACATAATTGGAAGTAAAGCACTGCTCAACAAATGCAAAACAACTGAAATCATAACAAACAGCCTCTCAGACCATAGTGCAATCAAGTTAGAACTCAGAATACAGAAACCAACCCAGAACCGCACAGCTTCATGGAAACTGAACAACTGGCTCTTGAATGTTGACTGGGTAAACAATGAAATGAAGGCAGAAATAAAGAAGTTCTTCAAAACCAATGAGAAAGAAGACACAACATGCCAGAATCTCTGGGACACATTTAAAGCAGTCTCTAGAGGAACGTATATAGCAATAAGTGCCCATATGAGGAGAATGGAGAGATCCAAAATTGACACCCTATCGTCAAAATTGAAAGCGCTAGAGGAGCAAGATCAAAAAAACTCAAAACCCAGCAGAAGACAAGAAATAACTAAGATCAGAGCTGAACTGAAGGAGATTGAGACATGAAAAACCCTTCAAAAAATCAATAAATCCAAGAGCTGGTTTTTTGAAAAGATCAACAAAATAGACAGACCACTAGCCAGATTGATTAAAAATAAAAGAGAGAACCACCAAATAGATGCAATAAAAAATGATAAAGGGGAAATCACCAGAGATTCCACAGAAATTCAAACCATCATCAGAGAATATTACAAACAACTCTATGCACATAAACTAGTAACCCTGGAAGAAATGGATAAATTCCTGGACTTCTGTGTCCTCCCAAGCCCAAACCAGGAGGAAGCTGAAACTATGAATAGACCAATAACAAGGTCAGAAGTCGAGGCAGCAATTAAGAGCCTACCACTCAAAAAAAGTCCAGGTCCAGACGGGTTCACAGCTGAATTCTACCAGACACACAAAGAGGAGCTGGTACCATTCCTTCTGAAACTATTTTAAACAATCCAAAAAGAGGGAATCCTTCCCAAATCATTTTACGAGACCAACATCATTCTGATACCAAAACCCGGCAGAGACCCAACAAGAAAAGAAAACTTCAGGCCAATATCCATGATGAACATAGAGGCAAAAATCTTCAATAAAATATTGGCAAGCCCATTGCAACAGCAAATCAAAAAACTTATCCATCATAATCAAGTAGGATTCATCCCGGGGATGCAAGGCTGGTTCAACATACACAAGTCTATCAACGTAATTCACCACATAAACAGAACCAAAAACAAAAACCACATGATTATCTCAATTGACGCAGAGAAGGCATTTGACAAAATTCAACAGCCCTTTATGCTAAAAACCCTCAATAAGCTCGGTATCGATGGAATGTATCTCAAAGTAATAAAAGCTATTTATGAGAAACCAACAGCCAATATCATACTGAATGGGCAAAAACTGGAAGCATTCCCTTTGAAATCCGGCACTAGACAAAGATGTCCTCTTTCACCACTCCTATTCAATATAGTACTGGAAGTCCTAGCCAGAGCAATCAGGCAAGAAAAAGAAATAAAGGATATTCAAATTGGAAAGGTGGAAGCCAAACTGTCTCTATTTGCAGACGGCATGATAGTATACCTAGAAGACCCCATCGCCTCAGCCCAAAATCTCCTGAAACTGATAAGCAACTTCAGCAAAGTCTCAGGATATAAAATCAATGTGCAAAAATCACAAGCATTCGTCTACGCCAATAACAGACTTAAAGAAAGCCAAATCAAGAACGAACTGCCATTCACAATTGCTACAAAAAGAATAAAATACCTTGGAATACAACTCACAAGGAATGTAAGGGACCTCTTCAAGGAGAACTACAAACCACTGCTCAACGAAATCAGAGAGGACACAAACAGATGGAGAAACATTCCATGTTCATGGTTAGGCAGAATTAATAATGTGAAAATGGCTATACTGCCCAAAGTAATTTACAGAATCAACGCTATCCCCATCAAGCTACCATTGACTTTCTTCACAGAACTGGAAAAAACCACCATGAACTTCATATGGAACCAAAAGATAGCCCGCATAGCCAAGTCAATTCTAAGCAAAAAGAACACAGCGGGGGCATCACACTACCGGATTTCAAACTAGACTACAAGGCTACAGTAATCAAAACAGCATGGTACTGGTACCAAAATAGAGATATGGACCAATGGAACAAAACAGAGGCACCGGAGGCAACACAACATATCTACAACTATATAATCTTTGATCAACCTGAGAAAAACAAGCAATGGGGAAAGGATTCCCTGTTTAACATATGGTGTTGGGAAAACTGGCTAGCCATGTGCAGAAAGCAGAAACTGGACCCCTTCCTGACACCTTACACTAAAATTAACTCCAGATGGATTAAAGACGTAAACATAAGACCCGGCACGATAAAAACCCAAGAAGGAAATCTAGGCAAAACTATCCAGGACATAGGAGTAGGCAAGGACTTCATGAACAAAACACCAAAAGCATTGGCAACAAAAGCCAAAATAGACAAATGGGACCTAATTAAATTCCACAGCTTCTGCACGGAAAAAGAAACTGTCACTAGAGTGGATCGGCAACCAACAGAATGGGAAAACATTTTTGCAGTTTACCCATCTGACAAAGGGCTGATATCCAGAATTTACAAAGAACTCAAACAGATTTACAGGACGAAAAAAAACAAGCCCATTCAAAAGTGGGCAAAGGATATGAACAGACACTTTACGAAAGAAGGCATATATGAGGCCAACAATCATATGAAAAAATGCTCATCGTCACTGGTCATCAGAGAGATGCAAATCAAAACCACATTGAGATACCATCTCACGCCAGTTAGAATGGTGATCATTAAAAAATCTGGAGACAACAGATGCTGGAGAGGATGTGGAGAAAAAGGAACACTTTTACACTGTTGGTGGGAGTGTAAATTAGTTCAACCATTGTGGAAGACGGTGTGGCGATTCCTCAAGGCCTTAGAAATAGAAATCCATTTGACCCAGCAATCTCATTCCTGGGTATATATCCAAAAGACTATAAATCGTTCTACAATAAGGACACATGTACACGAATGTTCATTGCAGCACTGTTTACAATAGCAAAGACCTGGAATCAACCCACATGCCCACTGATAATAGACTGGATTGGAAAAATGTGGCACATATACACCATGGAATATTATGCAGCAATCAGAAATGATGAGTTTGTGTCGTTTGTAGGGACATGGATGAATATGGAGAACATCATCCTCAGCAAACTGACACAAGAACAGAAAATGAAACACCGCATATTCTCACTCATAGGCAGGTGATGAAAAATGAGAACACATGGACACAGAAAGGGGAGTACTAAACACTGGGGTCTATAGGGGGGAAAAGGGGAGAGCCAGTGGAAGGGGGAGGTGGGGAGGGATAGCCTGGGGAGAAATGCCAAACGTGGATGAAGGGGAAAAGGAAAGCAAAGCACACTGCCATGTGTGTACCTACGCAACTGTCTTGCATGCTCTGCTCATGTACCCCAAAACCTAAAATCCAATAAAAAATTTAAAAAATAATAATAATAAAAATATACCATTTTAGCATTTGAAAAGCCGTTACAGATTGCTTCCTTGGTTTAATTATCTAAGCGGCAAAAATCTGGGTTTCAAACTCTTGGAAGTCCTCAGGGATGGTGTCATTGCAGCCATACTTGAGGTTGGACCAGATGATGTTTTCTTGAGAGAAGCAGAAAATGCCAAGTTGGCCTCCACGCATTGTGGTGTCTATGGTGACGCCAGAGTTGGCCACCAACTCAGAGCTTTCATAAAATCGCACCCTGAGGTAGCCCACTTGTGGCCTGTGCTGTAGGAACCAGCAGTAGGACACCTTGTCCTTCCAGCCCACGTTCCTGGAGTCTTTCCACAGCAGACTGATCTGGTCGCTGGTATCCCCCATGTGCCACGGGGAGTTCCAGAGATGCTCCCCTGGACCTGTCTTAGACTTCACAGCCTTGAGCTGAATGCCAGGTTCTGCAACTGCTCGGAATGGGGTGGCCTGCCAGTAGGTCTGCTCCGTCTGCTTCCACATGACCATATAGAAGCTGGAGCTATCCTGATAGACAAAGATAAAGCCTGCATAGTCATGATCTGTCTGGGTATTGACATGGAAGGTCTCTTCGAAGTCAACTCCATTAAAAGCCGTGTATCCCACTGCCAGAACTGCCAGACCAGGATCACTGTTCATGGACTGCACAATCTCCATGCCCTGGTTTAGGACTACCCAGTTGGGATCGATTGGGTAGTTGATCTCTGTTTTCTTTACAGGAAGGTTGACTACCTTCACCTAAAGATGTATTGCTCACCAAGGAAGCAAATGGATTACCACCAAACTGCTCTTGCGGAGCACTCAGCATTGGTTCCTGAATAACTGTGTACATGCTTCTTAAAGCATTATATCCCCCTGGAATACTTTCTAGGTTGCTCAAGGCTCTATCCTTGGTTTCTCATCATTTCCTGCATCATTGCTGGATTCCTTGCAAGTTCCAACGTTTGTCTCATTATATCTGGATTATTCAGCATATGACTAATTTCTGGATTTCTCTGTATCAACCACTGCATTTGTGGATTGGCCATAATTAATTGTCTCATCAGGTCTGGATTTAAGAACATGCTCTGAACAAAGGGATTTTCCATGATCTAGACCATCATTTCAGGGTTAGACAAAAGTTGCTACATCTGGCTCTGTAGTTCAGAGAAGTTGGTAGTATTCAAACCCAAGCTACTCAGATCTGCAAGTCCTCCAAGACCACCTAAAGCAAAAGGGTTGCTAGTAGCAGAACCAGATGTGGAGTTACTATTAGGAGCTGATGATGTAGTAACATTGCTTCCAATGGTATTTGTTTGCTGAGCTGAATGATCCTGTGGCCTGTTTTGTGTTTTGATAACAAGGTGAACAGTAAGTCCATCGTGAATCCCATGCTGACTCAAGGTATCTTGATCTTTCAAAAATTTTCCAGCAAATATCAACACAAGTTGGTCAGTATGTGATTTAAAACGTTTAGAGATTTCTTCCTTAAACTGCTGGACGGAGCTATTCTCAGGTACAGCAAATTCCTCCTTCTCCTTCGAAGTCTTCATGGTGACTTTCATAATTTTGGGCTCTGCAGAGGCAGTGGCTGTGGAGGCGCTGGCACCTTTGGCTCTGACAGTGCTATCCTGGGAGCCTGGAGGGCCACCCCTTTCACCACTCTCAGCCATGGTGGTGGTAGCGGTGGTGGTGATGGCGGTGACTGGGTCCTCAAAAGTTTTTTACATGTACACAAAAACATATGGGCAAGAAAAAATAACAGAATCTAATAATGTGTACTACTGTATTTGACAAGACACAGAGGGACATGGAGCTGCTGTACCCCTTCAAGGAGAAGGTCTTCTACAGCCTGATGAGGGAGAGTGGCTATATGCACATCCAGTGTACCAAGCCTGACACCGTGGGCTGTGCTCTGAATGACTCTCCTCTGGGCCTGGCCGCCTATATCCTATAGATGTTTTCCATTTGGACCAATATGGAATTCTGATACCTGGAGGATGGAGGCTTGGAAAGGAAGTTCTCCCTGGACGACATGCTGACCAATGTCATGCTCTACTGGACAACAGGAAGCATCGTCTCCTTCCAGAGCTTCTACAAGGAGAACCTGGGACAGGACTGATGACCCAGAAGCATGAGCGGATGAAGGTCTACATGCCCACTGGCTTCTCTGCCTTCCCTTCTGAGTTAATCCACATTCCTGAAAAGTGGATAAGGCTCAATTACCCGAAGCTCATCTCCTATTCCTACATGGCTTGTGGGGACTGTTTTCAGAGCTCCTCCCTCTGTGATTTTTTTTGAGGAAGAGAGAAAATATGTGAAAGTGCTTTTTTTAGGTTATTAAATAATTTATTGTACTGCATTTACAAAGGAAACAGACAATGCACTTAGTAGAAAGAATAAAAATTTTTAACTGACAGCAAATAGAAGTCCTTTAGTGAAATCATGGCAACCTGACAGTATTATAATTAAGCTCAATAACAGTACATGGGGTACTTGGAAGATCAAGGTCTAGAGCTGCCTATTTCCATATCTTTCAGTCTATCTGCCTCCTTAAACAATAGGGGAAAAGCCCTTATTTGGTGGAGGAGCATTTCCAAAATGAAGTTACACGTTCTCTCTCTTTATTAAAATGTACTGTCACATCAACTGTTAAAATAGGGCCTTTTGTGTGTTTTTTATTTCACCTTAATATCATCACCAGAATTCCTGTAATTCCACAATTGTGATTTTACAATGTAGAAGAGAATTCAATTCTAGTCTATTGCTTTAGATGTAAAAACAGCTGAAAACCCAAAGTAGATTAGAATTGCTAAAGGATTTCCCTGCCATTGTTTGATACAATCTATTCTCTTGATTCTTGAAAGGTGCACAGAAAGCCTAACTTAAAATTTTTTTACAGGAACTTGTCTGATTTTAGGAGTACCCAATGAAGGATCCGATGAATGGCTGGCCAGTTACTCAGAGTGATATGTTGATGAGTTCAATGGACTGCATAACGACACCACTTTTCCTTTGTCACTTTGGGTGGATAAATGACAAAGTAGATTCCAATCTCCCATATGGAAAGGTGGTTATCATACAGTCTCACTGGTACTTGCTAGTAGTAGGGCCAAGTTGCACCTCTGTGGCTTTCTGTAAATTCAATTTTTTGGGGATGTGGGGGAAGAAACAAAAGTCTTTATTGACAAATAGCTTACAATGAAATAAATAGAGCAGTGGTTTGTTAAATAATAAAAACTAGGACAGAGGCTAGGTGTCTCTCCACCCCTGCCTCTGGCCCTAAGCTTTAGCCCTCTGGCTGGGCACTTTGGATGATGAGGACTTGATGTTGATGAGCAGCCCAGCCTGTCTCAAGCCCTTAGGGGCCTCTGTCTTCTGGGACAGGTGTGTAGGCACCACCTTGGACCCACCGGCCTTAGCAGAAGCACCCTTGGCATTTGGCCCCTGCCCAGCCCCAGGGCCAGCTGCCCCTCTAGGGCCCTGGGCCTTGGCCTTGGCTGCCAACTTCTTTTTGGTTGTGGAAGCAGCACCATTCTTGACCTTACTGACCGTGGGTCTTGAACTCTTACTCCCAGGTTTGCTTTTCCTGCAGGCCTCAGCATCTCTTTGGCTCCTCCTGCTGCCTTTGGCCTCTGCCTTCCTGCTGAACCCACTGGCACTATAAGGGGCCCCCATGGCCTTGTCTGGCTTGGTGGGCACCTTCTGAGCCTCACCTGGCTGTGCCTTGATGTCCTTGGACTTGCTGCCTTGCTCGTAAGCTTTTTCTGTGACTGTGCCTGGCTTGAGAGAATACTTCTGCACCTCCCCTGGCCTCTTGGCTGCCTTTTTCACCTTTCCTGCCTTGGGAGGCTCCTCCTTGGCCTCATCTGGTTTCTTTGGGACCTTCCCCTTGGTCTCGCCTGCTCTCCTGGGGGCCTTCTGGGGGGCCATCTTCCTGGGCTTAATTTTCCTCTTGTGCTTGGTAACTAATTTGAAGTTGCTAGTGGCCCCCCTGGCTTTGAAATTGAGAGGCCTGGCAAGGAGGCCATGGAGCATGCCAGTGGCCAGCACCTGCTTCAGCAGGTACTTGAAGCAAAGGACATCCACTGCTGGGTACTTTTGCAGAATGTAGAGCTTGATGGCTACCACCTATGTGCCCTGGCACTGCTCCCCTGCCTGCAGTGCCTCCAGCACCATGTGCAGCATGGGGTGGTGGTGGCATCCCACTGGGAAGCTGCTGTGGCTTGGGTCTGGCTTTTCAGATTCAGGAGACCTGGATGATCCTGCTGTGGAAGTCAAGGAGGGTGAGCTGTTGCTGGTGATGCTTCCAGGAGCCATGAGACTGACCGGTTCAGCTGGCAGACCCCTCACCCGGGTGGGGTTTTTATTGTTGTTGTTGTTGTTGTTATCATCCCCGCCTTGTAAAATTTGGGGGAACATACAGAAGAACAAGTTAATATTACATTGACATGAGAACCATCCTGACATACAGTAGGAGCTGGATAAACATTCATTTTCACCCCTTCATGCTAGGGTATGGCTTTCAATTCATTATTTAAGAAACGTATCTCCTGTTGGATAGGGGGTGATGACTTTGTTCACAGATAGCCACTTCTGACTGTGCCCATTTCACAGATGTTTCTGATGGTGACAAAGCAGGAGAAGCAGGTTAGGAGCTCCAGGCTTGGGAATCTCAGCCCTGCCATGGATTTGTTGGGTGATCTTGAGTGAAGTGCATTCCCCTCTGATCCTCAGTCTGTGAACTGGAAAATAAAGATGGCCAAGGAAACTGGGCCTTGGAAAGTTCCGGGGATTGAGTGGAGTCAGGAATTCTCAGGACCTGGCAGAAAATTGGGGCTCCAGAGAGATGACAGCTATGAAAATGTGCCTCTCACAGCCTTCTGTTGTAACTGGCTGTGAGATGTCTGTCTTCTGCCAGACTAGGCTTCTAAGGTAGGGATGGGTTTTGTCATCATTCTGTCTGCAGCATACTGTACAAGGTCTGTCTCACCAGGCTGGAGTGCACTGGTGTGATCTCTGCTCACTGCAGTCTCTGCCTCCCGGGTTCAGGCAATTCTCCTGTCTCAGTCTCTCAAGTAGCTGGGACTACAGATATGCACCACCACACCCAGCTAATTTTGTATTTTCAGTAGAGGTGGATTTTCACCATGTTGGCCAGGCTGGTCTCAAACTCCTGACCTCAGGTGATCCACCCACCTTGGCCTCCCAAAATGCTGGGATTACAGGTGTGAGCCACTGTGCCAGCTGAAAAACTACCAAGTCTCTTGATGATGCTGAAAAGCCTGGCTACACCAGCATCAACGTGTTCAAAATGGGAGACAGAAGATCAGCTTCAAGCACTTCCCCCTGCAAAGATGAAGCCCAGAGAGGCCACATGAGTCTGCCAGTGTCACACAGCAGGGTTTGATGGGACAGGCCCCAGCTGAGTGTGTGCTTCCCTCAGCTCCCCTGAAGCAGGCTCTAACTCCCAGGCATCAGAGCCTGCTCCACCTGCCCAGCCCCCTCCCTGCTCCTCTTCACCTGGGGCCATGTCTGAGCACCTGAGGACCAGCTCTTCCTCCCTCAGTACCAGTCATCTCTTGGGAAATTTTCTCAAAGTGAAAAAAAGGGTGGGGAACCATATTGCCCCTCCATCCCCCATTAGACTTCCTCCATTTAGCTTGCTATAAAATGAGTCATATAAAAAAACTCTATATGGGTGAGGTATATCCCACTTCTGTGAAAACATTACAAATCAAACCACCTTCTCTCAGTTTATTTAAGATGCTTTAGTTGTGAGCGGAGCTCTAGAGTGAAGCCTCCTGTGTGTGTGAGATGATAACACCTTGTAACTCATTACAGCTGGGCACTATTTACAAAAACCAGAGCTGAGCCAGGCAGGAATTTGCTGATTAATTTATTTTTAATGGAGTGAAGTATACCATGCACCAAAATAAACGTTGCTGTGTGTACCTAAAAAAAAGGCGGGGGCGGAGGGCGTGGACCGGGGGGCCAGGGAGCGAGTGGGGCATCCAGCTGCATGGAGTCAGTGCCGCAGCGCCTGCACCTGACTCGTGCCTGGACACTCGCAGGGTGCTGACCCAGCAGGGGGCAAAACCAGCTGCTCCTCCCACCTCTCTGGCTGCCCCCTAGAGCCTGCCCAGCCCAGCCTGAACAATGTCGACAGCCAGGGAGCAGCCAGTCTTCAGCACACTGGCTCACATGTTCCAAATCAACCCAGCCACCAAGCAAAACTGGATCCCGGCCGGCAAGCATGCACTCACAGTCTCCTATTTCTATTATGCCACCCGAAATGTCTACCGCCTCATCAGCATTGGGGGCACCAAGGCCATCATCAACAGCACTGTCACTCCCAGCATGACCTTTACCAAAACCTCCCAGAAGTTTGAGCCGTGGGCAGTCACGCCAACACCATTTACGGCCTCGGCTTTGCCTCTGAACAGCATCTGACACAGTTTGCTGAGAAGTTCCAGGAAGTGAAGGAAGCTTCCAGGCTGTCCAGCTTCCAAACTGTCCAGGGAGAAATCTCAGGATGGCAGGGAGCTCACCAGTCCAGCCCTGGGACTCGCCTCCCACCAGGTGCCCCCAAGCCCCCTTGTCAGTGCCAACAGCCCGGGTGAGGAGAAACTGTTCCGAATTCAGAGTACTGACGCCCCTGGCTCCACAGAGCATGAGTAGCTCAAGAAGATGCTGTCCGAGGGCTCCGTGGGTGAGGTACAGTGGGAGACTGAGTCCTGCACTGCAGGACAGCAACAACAAGCTGGCAGGCACCCTGCGAGAGGCCAAAGCGGCCGCAGCCCAGTGGAGGCAGCAGCTGGAGGCTCAGCATGCAGAGGCTGAGCAGCTGCTGCAGCAGGTGGCTGAGCTGGAGGCCCAGGCAGGTTCAGAGGTGACCCCAGCCAGTGAGAAGGAGGGGCCAGGCCAGGACCAGTCACTGGAGCAGCTGGAAGCTCTGGTGCAAACCAAGGACCAGGAGATCCAGACCCTGGAGAGTCAGACTGGGGGGCCCCAAGAAGCTCCAGAGGCTGCCAAGCATGAGGAAACTCAGCAGAAGGTGCAGGACCTGGAGACCCACAACACAGAACTGGAGCACCAGCTGTGGGCAATGGAGTACAGCCTCGAGGAGGCACAGGCAGAGAGGAGCTGGCACAGGCCAAGGTGGGCTGGGTGGCACAGCTGCTGGAAGTCAGGCTGTTCAAGCTGAGTGAGTTGCACGAGGGCCTGGCCCGCCTGGCTTAGGCTGCACACTGAGCCAGGGCTGGTTTTCTGTGAATAATTCCAGCCTGGGATGCAGGCAAGGCTGCAGGTGGCTTAGTTGGGCCCATTTATCCTGGCAAGGGACCAGGGGTCCCAACTTGGTCCCTGTGTGGGCCAGGGTAGGATGAGCCCCAACTGGCTCTGGCTGTTGACAGCATGGGGGCTGTTTTTGAGCTTCTCATTGTGTAGAATTTCTAGATCCCCAGATTACATTTCTAAGCGTGAAAAAAAATCTTAGTACTCTTTTTTTTTATGCCTTATAGAATTCTGTTTATTAGTAATTAGAACATATGGGGTAATTAAGTGTAGTTCCAGCTTGCATTTTACCATACATTTCAAATATGATGCAAGATTGCTACAGAGAATATATTTCCAGTTTGTTGGCATTTGACATAAATGCAATGCAAGTAAAAACATAAGCAATGTCATCATGCAGGAAAAAAAAGATAAACTTCAGGAAAATTCTAGATCAAATAATCTCTTCATTATTTTTCAAATGATGTCGTTTTATATGCCAGAAATTTGTAAAGAGTTAAAAGAACCTATAAACATTATTTGTTTCGAAGCACAGAATAACTTTAGCTTAACTAATAGAATGCACATGGCCTTTATAGTCAGAGAAAATTAATTATAAATTTGAGCTCTGTCCATACCTCTCTGAATCTCTATTTCCTTTTATGTTTACTGGAGATAGTAATAACTATTAATGTCAGGTGATTTAAAAATGCAAAAATACACAAGGACTTTTATAAAAACTTCTTACCACAAGATACTTTTTATACTGAAAATTTGTATTTCCCCAATACTGATATACTGAAAGCCCATTTTTTTGTGTAATGGTATCGAGAGGTGGGGTTTTTGAAAGATGATCAGGTCATAAGGATGAAGTTCTCATGAATGGGGTTAGTGTCTTTACAAGAGTCACAAAAGAGTGTGCTTCACTTGTCCATGTGAGGGCAGAAAAAGAAGAAAGTCATCTACAAACCAAGAAGCCAGCCAGACACCAGACATGCTGGCACTTTGATCTTGGAGTTCTTAGCCTTCAGTAAGTTTATTCATCCAGTGATAAGCTGCTTTGAAATTGTTCTTTGGGGAAACAGAGTGACATGTACACTCCAGCACATACCCACCTGCGCATGTTTTAAAAGGTACCTTAACAACATATGGAGTTGTTACAAGGCATTACTTCTATGTCAGTAAAAGAAGTCCATCAAAGCTTAGTTGATGATAGTATGGTTGACTGTGAGAGGATCAGAACTTCTTTTTTTTTTTTTTGAGACAGACATTTGCTCTTGTTACCCAGGCTGGAGTGCAATGGCATGATCTCGGCTCACCGCAACCTCTGCCTCCTGGGTTCAGGCAGTTCTCCTGCCTCAGCCTCCTGAGTAGCTGGGATTACAGGCACATGCCACCATGCCCAGCTAATTTTTTGTATTTTTAGTAGAGATGGGGTTTCACCATGTTGACCAGGATGGTCTCGATCTCTTGACCTTGTGATCCATCCACCTCAGCCTCCCAAAGTGCTGGGATTACAGGCGTGAGCCATTACACCTGACCCAGAACTTCCAATTATTATTGGGCTTTTCCAAGTAAAGCTCTTCATGCAAGGAAATGTAAGTTGGAAGCTCTGGAATCTCAGTTGTCTGAGGGAAGCCAATAGCATGCAAGCATACAGAAAAGCATTGAAAAAGATAAAATTGGCCGATGTGAAATGGAAGAGCAAACCACGCTAACAAAAGAACTTTCTTCACTTCGAGACCAAAGGGAACAGCTAAAGGCAGAAGTAGAAAAATACAAAGATTGCAACCCACAAGTCATGGAAGAAATATGCCAAGCAAATAAAGTAGCCAAAGAAGCTATTAACAGATGGACTGATAACATATTTGCCATAAAATCTTTGGCCAAAAAAAATTTGGGTTTAAAGAAAATAAAATTGATAAAATTTTTGGAATTCCAGAAGACTTTGACTACATAGGCTAAAATATTCCATGGCGGTAAAGGATATAAATTTTAAAGTATTATCTAAATAAGTGTACTGAATTGTCATTTGCCTGTAACTATATATATCCTTTTATTAATGTTAAATAAAGTATAAAATGCAAAAAAATCCCATGTACATATATGCATATATTATATATTTTTACAATATATAAAGCATATGTACAGTTCCTAAAGCTTACGTGGCAGTAATGCTTGCATCAAAGCCTGAACCTGCTGTAGCACTTACAGTACTTATGTACTGTACACAGTACTTACTTCTGCCGGGCCAAGGCACTGGCAAAACCGCTGCGCCTGGTACTGGCCCTCCATGATCATGCATAACATCAGGATCTGCTGCCAGTGTTTCACAGCACAGTTGTCCCATTGGATTATTTGAGCACCAAGTACAACACATGTTGTACAGTTTTAAAGTACATGTCAAAAGATTGCTCCCAAAGAGAAAGGCACATACAGTACAGATTTACTGGCTCTTTGAGTTGTTTTTGTATTCAAAACAACCATGTTTTTGAATAATAAAGCCGGAAGTGCAAATCTGGAGACAAAATTTCTCAGTCCTTTGGCATGTGTGGATGTTATGACATTGGCTCTTCCTGCTATGTAGCCACAAAGGACAATGCCAAAGCATTCTAGTAAGGCTGGAAAAAGCCTTGTAATTGACATTGAAGGTGGGTCGTTAGTGGAATTAAATCCATGTACTGCTGTAGGCAAAGTCTTTGTCATATTGACTGCAATGGTTAAGTTCTCTGCAGGTAAATTAGAAAAAGAATTCATTTTCTCTCACCCTCCAACTCCAACCAGATCTCTTTGTGCCACAAGGACTTTGCACATACAGTTGACTCAAACATCCTTAACCCGTGGTTCCAAAGGGACGTCATAAGGCATAACGGTGATTCACCTCAGAACTTTCAGTCCTGAGGTGACCAGGCCCGGGGGTTATATGGGTACACCTTAGCCAAGACAGCCTGAAACATCCCTTTGAGGAAGTGGCCAGGAAGGCATCAGACTGGTCTCCCATCTGGGGGGCACCCATGCTTTGTCTGTCAATTTTATATGTGGTTCTGTCTTTATTGTAAATTTGCCAGTTTTGTTAGACTCTTGTTAGCTGATATGCAGTGGGTTAAGCCTGCTTCCCTTGAAGTAAGAAATATTCTACAGTGGGTAATAGACCACTGGCTGCAGAGAACCTTTACTGAATTTATGCCCCTAAAAGTAACTCTGTCCTCTTTCCTTCTCCTCTTCTTCTTTTACTACTGAGGCCTCACTTCCTCTAATTCTGCCATGTGGCCAATAGCCCTAACCCTGTCTCTTTTTCACTTTTTCTAATTCTGCCATGTGGCAAACAGCCCTAGCACTGTCTCTTTCTATTTTCTTTCTTATTATAATCATCGTAGCCTGTAAGTTCTCTCAGCCACCTCCTCTAGGACAGGAGTATTTCTACCCATGTTAGATATAATACCTTTTTATAAAAGGTAAATGTGTACATACATATATTGTGTACATCAATTTGTGTATACATATATACATATATATTTATATATGTATACATAAATATTTATATATGTATACATATATAAATTTGTATACATACATACATTTATATATGTATACATATATACATGTCGACAGTCAACAGTGATCAATTTAGTAATCTAGGCACAAGGTACCATGAACTTGGAAGCAGCAGTATAAAGATGTCAATTATTATCTATATCAAATAAAGGCAAGCATCTTAATGGCCTATCTCATGGATCCCTGGCATGATGTACACATCATTCACTACAAAACACTCACACGTCTTTCCAGCTTGGACCCAACAGAATGACTCACACAAAGAAGGGTGGCTAGAAGAAAAATGGCTGTTCTGCCATCAACGAGGTGGTGACCCAAGAATACACCATCAACATTCACAAGCGCATCCATGGAGTGGGCTTCAAGAAGCATGCCCCTTGAGCACTCAAAGAGATTCAGAAATTTGCTATGAAGGAGATGGTAACTCCAGATGTGCACATTGATACCAGGCTCAACAAAGCTGTCTGGGCCAAAGGAATAAAAAATGTCCCATACCGAATCCATGTGCAGTTGTCCAGAAAACGTAATAAGGATGAAGATTCACCAAATAAGCTCTATACTTTGAATACCTATGTACCTGTTATCACTTTCAAAAATCTACAGACAGTCAGTGTGGATGAGAACTAATCACTGATTGTCAAATACATCAAATAAACTTTAAAAATTGCCTTTAAAAAATGTAGAACTCACTACACTTAAATATGTTACACATTTTAAATATACAGAGCCATATTGCATATGGCTAAGTACATGTACTGCTGGTCTCAGCAGCCAGATCCCCATGCTAACCTCATGACCAGAAAAGAGAAGGACTGGGTGATAAAAGTACAGATGGTGCAGCTGCAGAGTATAAAGCCCCAACTGGATGACTACTACTACCAGAAATATTACCAGCAGCTAGAAAAGAAGTAGGCAGATGAAGAGCTACTTGGACAAAGAAACTGGGTTGAGTCCCTCAGCCTGGTAATGCCTTACATTCAGAAGGCAGAGTCTTATGAGTCAGTGGTCCAAATCGAGGGTTCCCTGGGCCAGATAGTTGTGTCAATGTGTTTCAGCCCTCACCGAGCTATTGATGCTGTACCTCATGGAACTCAATAGCAGGATATAGGAGTTGCAAGCAGTCAGAGGCTTGTGGTATTATACTGGATTGAGAAGATGTGCCGTCAGTTACTAGAAATAGAGGAAGGCTGCAAGAATAGGCCTCCACAGCCCTGCTTTTCTGAGAAGCAAAGCAACCAGGTTGAGAAGCTCTTCCAGACCTTAAAGACCCAGGAGCAGAACAATGTGGAGGAGGCAGCAGATGGCCTCCTGCAGGTGCTCTCTGTGAGGAAGGGCAAGGCCCTGGTGGCCCAGCTGCTCCCCTTCCTGCCCCAGGATCAGGCTGTTACCATTCTATTGGCTATCACCCACCATCTCCCCTTCCTGGTCCGGAGGGATGTGGCTGATCAGATCCTACAAATGTTGTTCAAACCTCTGGGCAACTATATCAGTCACCTGACCCTCCATGAACTCCTCCAAGGACTTCAGAGACTAATGCTGTTACCACCTGGCTCCTCAGAGCAGACAGTCACCATGGTGCTTCAGAATCGGTTTGGAATATCTTTGTTCTATGCCCTGCTGAGTCATGGGGAGCAGCTGGTATCACTGAATTCTTCCCTAGAGGAACCCAACACTGACTGTACATCTTGGACAGACAGGGTGGTTCTGATTGCCTGGGAGATAGCCCAGATGCCTGCAGCCTCTCTGGCAGAACCCCTGGCCTTCCCCAGCAACCTACTTCCCCTGTTCAGTCACCATGTGGACAAACAATTGTTTCAGCAGCTGGAGGTCAGGAGGGAGTTTGCCTGGATCTGCTGATCTGTTTGTTCTGGAATACATATATCTTGGAAGTTGAATCATCAGACACTGGCTGCATAGACTTTGTTTACATGTTCATATCCTTTCTTCAAGAACCTAAATGATGTGCCTAAAAATAAAACATGGCATAGCAAGATATAATTAAAGAGATAAGAGAATGAAAAAAAACATATTTTTAATGTTAAAGTTATATATATATATATATGGTATATATATATATACCATTAAATGACATGATTTTTTTTTCTCATGGGTATTTTTTATTGAAAGCTCTTTTCCCTTCAATCATGGACATTTTACATTAAACTTTATACAACCAAAATATCCAAATTATATTAAAATCATACTAAGATATTTTCTTTAAGTCTCAACTTTACTGTCAGTAAAAATATTGTAAAACGCTTGTAACTAATGTTTCTGCTTTAAAATAAGCAATTAAACTAAACATCACAAGAAGAGACAATACATACTATACATTTGCAGATAACTGGCTAAATGATAATTTAATAGTAATTAATAATGTTTGTATAAGAAACAATTGCACTTGAAAAATTAAAAAAGTAAACAAAAAATCCTCTAGTCCTATATATAAGTCTATGAACAGAGGTTTATCATCTATAACCTTGCCAGGGAAGTGTATGTTTGTTTAAAAAAAAGCTTGCATTTAACATAGTAATCATTCATTTAAAAAAAGTCTTTAACTTTTTATATGTTTTTACAGAATTTCCCCGTAGTTCGTTGCTCAGAAAACTGCAACACAGCTAAAGCAAAATAACACTTCCTTGGTATTTAGTGCAAATTTGGGTTGATTTTGAAATAAAATGTTAAGCATGTACGCTTTAGAAGCTGTTAGAAGTAAGTACTGTGAATGCCCTTTAGTATACTCTTCTTTTAAAGACTTTAATGAAAAAATTTTAACTGAGGTATTTCGCCTACTTCATATGGGCACAGTGATATCTGAGCCAATACAAAGCTGACACATCTACCATTCCTTGTTACTGATCTTACTTCACCTGTTCCCTGCCATTATTGGGATAATGTCCAAAGCTGACAGGATGAAAGAAAAAGTTAATTCAGAAGAATTACTGTAGCATTATCATTCCAGAGCTCTAGGTGGAAAGATTACCATTAAAAAGTGTTATATTAGTGAGGAAATCATTGGAACTACAAATGCCTACATATAAGACTTAGAAAAGAGCATTAGTGTGGAAGACATGCAGTGAAATATTAATTGCTTTTCATAGCAATTAAAAAAAGTTACATTGATTTTTAACAGTCTGAAGATCCAGTACATAAAATACATACTCAAGCTTGACCAGCTTGACTGTGTATATGAGTACTGTACATATTTTTTTGCAGATTCAAAAACAGTTTTATTTCATTATTATCCAAGTCCCTTTGAAAAGATAATTGTCCAAGTGTCATCGCATGAAAAATAGGCCCAGGCAGCCCCTGCTGGACCTGGCCTGAGAAATGTACATATTTACATGGGCCCTGAAAAAGGAGAACCTGGGACTGCACAGCTGGCGGTGGGTGGCAGGCACAGTGCTCCGTCACTGATTTGCACAGTGGCAGGCAAGAGACAAGCTGTGGTGAAGGGACTCAGTGGCATGTACAATTGACACAGGCCCTGCCTGTGCCAAGGCCTGGGCCCAGCCAGACCAGAGTACCTGGGCAAATCCCAGAGAGGAAGTAGATTCCAGCACGCATGTCCAGGGGAGGTGCTGGGGATCACCTGAAGCCCACAGCAGGGACCTCGGCTACTTCCTCCAAGTATTGCTATGGGGATGGTCAGGGCTGCCTCCTTGGGGGCAGGACAGAAGCCTGTAGAGCAGGTGGAGGGACCCCACCCACCCATAAACAGACAGATTGCAGGGGTGGGCCACAGGCCGGCTCCCCACAGGGCTCCTGAGTACCGGTCATCCCCTGGCTATGACACCTGTGTGCCATGCCTGTGCCCGCCAAGAGCCTAGCCTGGAGCCATGGCCAGCCAGTCAGTCCACCTTCTCCATTTTGCGAATAATCTTCTCTTCGAAGATGGGTAGGAGAGCCCCATCCTCTCAGACCTCCTCAAACACCACCCCACAGTCAAACTTGTCGCTCACTTTCTTGAAATAGTATTGATAGCTGTCCTGCCCTGTCTCAGGAGAGCTGTCATGTGCACGTCCTGCAGGGCCGAGCTGTGAAGGGTATTCACTCCCTGGGTTGTGTCTGGATGATGGCATCCCTCCTGGCATGGGTGCAGATGGGCAGTTGAGAGGTAACATCAGCCTGGGAAAACTAGATATTACTGAAAAGTGCTGGAGGTGGCCAGCATGTGCAAAACCCCAGTGGTAAAAACAGCACGTTCTCAGTACAAAATAAGGACAGTTAAAAAGAAACCATGCCAGTCGAAATATATTTGAATCCGAGGGCATGGCAAACAGTTTTGCAAGGTACTAAGATCACATACGTATGTATGCACAGTATGGTGGTTCCAAAATATGTGGAAGCATGAAACTGAGGTGACTCTCTCACCCCTCTCATCCTCCAGACCACCTATGCAGGGAGCCAATGCTGTTAGTTGCCTAGGAGAAAGCAACCATGATGGGCATGGAATGATTGTGCAAGTTCACAGAAGAGAGGATTTCAGACAGGGTATAAGACATGACCAAATCAAAATACTGCTTCACCTTTACTCCAGGGGACCTTGTAGAAGTCTGCCAGTTAACTCAGGTGGTGGTGACAGGTTGATGGAACCTCCCAATTAGGATTTGTGATATAATATTGAGTGGAGACAAACTGTTGGCCAGAACTGAGAGTGGAAAACAGAAAAGAGACCTCAGAAGCAATGCCACACATGTACAACCATCTGATCTTTGACAAACCTGACAAAAGCAAGCAATGGGGAAACGATTCCCTATTTAATAAATGGTGTTGGGAAAACTGGCTAGCCATCTGCAGAAAGCTGAAACTGGACCCCTTCCTTGTATCTTAACTCCAATAAGAAGTGGTATGTAAATATACAAGGTTTGTACCTTGTTTATTTATCTACATACCTTGTATATTTATCTTGTATATTTATCTACAATCCGTGTGTGGTTGTTCAGAAAATGTAATGAGAATGAAGATTCACCAAATAAGCTCTATACTTTGGTTACCTATGTACCTGTTATCACTTTCAAAAATGTACAGTCAATGTGGATGAGAACTAATCATTGATCATCAAACGCATCAAATAAACTTAAAAAATTGCCTTTAAAATAAACATTAATTGTCCATATGTGTTCCCATACCACAATGTTGCCATCGTTGCAGAAGGAGAAGCAAACAAACCTTGGCATCAGGGCTGACGGCCAGGGCATAGCAGGAGTTTTAAGCAAAGTACTGTACAGTATATTTCACACCTGGTGATTTTTTTCCAGAGGGTAGCCTGAGGAAAGCTGGAATGTTGCCTGGAAAATGGAGCTAATGTTCCTAGTGCAATGAATACCTAAGAATTGTTTAGAATAAGAACTCAATTTATTGGCTAGCTTGTGCTTTACCCTATTTGCACATCTTGATAATGTGTTTTCTATAAATTGTAATGTGTTATTGAATACCAAGGGCATGATTTCCTACCACATGTATATTGAAATTGCATTTAAAAACCACATGCTAGGTATGATGGTTCATGCCTGTAATCCCAGCTATTTAGGAGGCTGAGGTTGGCAGATTGCTTGAGGATATGAGTTTGAGACCAGGTTGGGCAACATGGCAAGACCCAGTCTTAAATAATAATAATAATAGTAATGCTAGGCATGGTGGCACACACTTGGTGTAATTCCAGCACTTTGGGAGATTGAGGTGGGCAGATAGCTTGAGTCCAAGAGTTCAAGGCCAGCCTGGACAACATGGCTTGTTGCTCTCCTGTCATCCTCATAAATTAATGTCTCATTCCAGGAGGTATAACTTCAGTTATTATCCAACCTTTTCCTGTTCACACCCAAATCTTCTGTAGATCAGGTGAAAGGGCTAAGAACACTCAGATTTAACAAGTTTGAGTCCCCAAGGCCCTCCTTTTTGGCATAGGAAAAATGAGCTCATCAGTAACAAAGGAATGATATATGGAGAAAGAACAGTCTTAGGGCAGGGGGAAGAGCTGATAAGGTCAATCTTGCAGTCAAGGAAAGAGGAAGCACATTTTGTGATATCAGATATCATCAGCTTGTGGCAGAAGTCAGAAGTCTGGTGTGCAACAGTAGCCTCTTGTTCCAATAGGACTGTTCTTTCCTATCGCTTCAACATGAAGATTTTGCCTCGGTCTTCAGAGTCCTAGTCCTCATAGGTATTAATTTCCTCAAAAACAGATTTGAGGCCTTTGAAGTCTGGAGTCTTTCAGAAAAAGCTTTTAATCAGGACCCAGGCTCAAGCCTGAGCTTCATCCATCTTGTTGAAGAGCTCTCAGATCAAAGTTGTGGTAGAGTTTGAAGATGATTAAGGTTCAGAAGAAAAACAGGCCTTTGTTACCATTACAAATTCCAGGTACAGTTGTCACTCCAAGATGAATTTTCCAGCACATAGCTCTTACAATCCCTTCACACAGAAGGGTGTCTCACCATGGGGAATATGAAGGACATGAAGGTGTTGACAGTTCTGCAGGGCTGGGAAGAAAAAGTGACACCACTTTCCCATGCTCTCAAGAAACCAAGAGCAAGCAGGCACCTAGAGACACTGCTACCAAGCCGCTTTGGAGGCCTAACTTCCAGTTTTTGGAACCAAAATATGGCTATTTTCACTGCAAAGATTGTAAGACCAGGTGGGAGAGTGCTTACGTGTGGTGCATTTCTGGAACTAACAAGGTTTATTTCAAACAAATCTGTTGTAAATGCCAAAAGGGTTGTAACCCTTTTCTAGTAGAAGAAATCCAATGCCAGACTTGCTCAAAGTCTCATTGTTCCTGTCCTCAAGAGAAAAGACACATTGATCTAAGGAGGCCTCATCGACAAGAACTGTGTGGTCACTGCAAAGACAAGAGATTCTCCTGTGGCAATATTTACAGCTTTAAATATGTCATGTGTCTTGTACAGGACCCCTGAGCTCTTCTTGTAGCTTACTGTGCTGTATTCCTTTTCTGCAACTCGGTTCTGACCTGGCATTGGAAAATGGACTAGGCTTTTGTACTTTTTGTAGGTTGTGTAACAATTGTACAATGTGAATAAAATAAAATCAATGCATGTGAACTAGAAAAAAAAAGTACATTGTACTTTTCTTCCTCCGTCTGCTAGTTTTTAAGACTTCTGTGGCTGGGAGGTTTTTTTTTTCCAAATGCTCTGTGTTTATTTTATTTCCTCTGTGCTCTCTGAGGTAGGACAGACATTTTGAAGATACTGAGGCCCTATGATTTGAAGTCTTCAAATCCAGTAATCATGGTATACTGAACACAAAAGAATCACTAGCACTGAGGGCTTTGTGAGAATCAGAAATCATTCTCCATCTATGAGAAGAAACTCCTAGGCATGACTTGCTTTGAGACAACAACTTCTAAAGTTTCTCCATCAGATTAGTGTGAGTGGGGCAGGTTTTTTTGTCTTCACTTTTTCCACCAGTACTGGTCATCTTCATGAAAAACATACCAACTACCATCAATTACCATCCGGGGCTTGAGCAGTTGTACTTCCTCCAGCAGCTTCCTGATTTGTACAGTATACTTCCATTTCCACAGCCCAATTATTTGTAGATTAGACATGGGACACACAAAGGATGAACACAGCTTCCTCATTCCTGTAGGACTGAAGTTATTCTGTACCAGGTTTAGGCTGGCCAGGTTCTGGTTGCAGGAAAGGGCCAAGGAGAGTTCCTCATGGCAACCAGAAGTCAATCCGCATACCTTCAACCCCAGTCTCCTTAGAACACTTCTCCTTTGCTTCAGCCCCTCACACAGCGCAGTGACCCCGACGTCACTCATGGCATTGTTTGCAAGATCCAGGCTCCTCAGGTATCTGCTCCTCGCAATCACATAGGACAGACTCTCACAGCACGTGGCAGTGCGATGGCAGCTGACCAGCTCCAGGTCCTGGAGATGATAAGATGGTCCTCTTATGACCTTGCACAGAAGCTTTACACCACTGTCTTCCAAGGGGTTGGTGCTGAGGCTCAGGTGCATCAGCCATGCATTGCCCAGAAGCGTAAATGCGAGAAAGCCACAGCCAGCTGTGTCCAGGTTGCAGTGATTCAGCATCAGCCTCTGCAGACCACAGTGGGGAAGCCTCAGTGATCGACACAGCAGACTCACACCTTCATTCCCCAGGTTGTTGTTGGAAAGGCACGGGTGTATTAAGCTGTAGTCGGGGATGAGGGCTGAGGCCAGACTCTGGCAGCCCTTGGCTGTGATGCTGCAGTCCTGCAGTGTCAGCTTCTGCAGGGCACACTGGGAGACCTTCAAGACCTCACCAAGAGCCTTCACTTCCTCGTCTGTCACCTCATTTCCTGCCAGGCTCAGGGAGCTCAGGCTGGGGGAGGTGGTAGTGATCTGCGAGATTTTCTGGTAACAGGCATGAGTCAGATTACACTGATCCAGCCTCAAACACTCCAACATACATTTGGGGTGTTTTAAGGCTTCACATGCCATGCTGACATCCTCTTCCTTCAGGTGGGTGCTTCCCAAGTTGAGGGATCTTAAGTTACAGTTGGTTATGAGGGTTCTCCAGAGGAGCTGCAGACCACGGGTCATCTGTGTGTTTCTCAACTTCAGGTTCTGTATCTTGCAGGTGGGAGGCCTCAGCTTGGCACACAAGGTCTTTATGGCCCATTCGGTCAGGATGCTGCTACCCAGGTCCAGCTGCTGCAGGTGAGGGTGGGTGCCAAGCACAGAGCAGCAATTCTTTCACTGCTCAACAAGGGTCTTACCCCGCATCCACTGAGGAACCACAGGCCATGCCTCAGCCAGCTCATCCCTTGGGAAGATCCTCTTGACATCCACCTGAATTTTCCACAAATTTAGACAGGGTTGGAGACAGAAGGAAAACGCCATCAAGTCCATGTTCTGACAGATCAGAAGCCACACTTCCTGGAAGCTGTTCAATGCCCAAGCGAACAAACTCTTTGTCTTGAGTCTCAAAAAGGCAGTGGAAGGCATCCAGGGTGTCAGCTGGGGCAGTGGCATTGGTCTGCTGACCCAATAGAGACACCCAGTGCAGAAGCTTCTGCTTCACCCCCAGGGGAACAGGGCAGCCCAGCAGGACCTCCAGCGGCTTCCTTACATCTTTGTTCATGAGGCCAAACAAAAAACGTTTTATCCAAAGCAGGTGGCTGTGGAAGCCCGCCTGTTTCAGCTCCATCGACCTCTTCCCCTTCTCCATGAACAGAAAATAGAGTGCCGGCTCGATGTCCAGCACCTCTAACATGTAGTACAAGGCCATGCAGAAGTCCTGGAGGCTGAGGTGGAAAAGTGTGAAGTGCTCCTCCTCGCAGTGGCCATCCTGGAGAAGGATGTCCATGTCAAACAGAGCACGGAGCTCAGACTCCCTGAGTCCGTGAATCAGGAGGTCGTTGCTGTCAAACACAGACTTCATATTCCACACTCCTTCCACAGCCATGCGGCACAGGCACTTCAGGATTGCCCTTTCTTCCAGGTCAAGACAGCACTGGGCCACGTCTCGAAGGGTGAGCTGATGGAACACAAAGGCGGCATACAAGCAGGTGACCTTCCCCTCCACGTCCTGCAGCTTCAGAGCCATGCAGACCAGCACACCCATGGCAGGGACCTTACACTGGTTGAAAAGCCCACAGTTGCGCATCATGGCATGCACCACCTGTGCCTTCTGATGATCCTTGGTCCCGTGCTCCAGGAGCAGGTGGATTCTTTTTTCTGCAGAGATTCCTCTCACAAGCAGGTAACGGGGGGACACCACCTGCGCCTTGAGCCTCTCAACACCCACGTCTCAAACTGTGACAGTCAGGAAGGACTCAGGGAGCAGGACTTTCCTCAGCAGACTGTGTGTGAGGGTGCCCATGGGCTCAGCCCAGGCTTAGCAGAGCTTTGTGTCACTGTGGATGTTGGAGACCAGGTCGTCAAAACCATCAAGGATGAACAGCATCCTTTCCAGCTGGGACATGATCTCCGTCACAGGAACCTGGGAGTCTGGCCACTCCCTGGAGATGAGGTCCTAGATGCTGGCCTCCTTCCTCCACTGCACCTCTCTAATGGGGAGGAAGAAGATGTAGGAGAACATATTCTGGAAGAGTCGACCTTGCACCCAGGACAGCACGATCCTCCTGGCCAGAGCTGATTTTCCAATTCCCGACTTCCCATGCAGAACCACTGTGTGGGACCAGAAGCCCCACTTGTCTGTACTGAAGGCACCAACCAGCATTTGCATTTCCAGCCAGTCAGCAGCAGGTTTTTCCCACCCCATGTCCCGGATGTGGGACAGAAGCAGAAAGAGTAACTATTGAGTATTAGGCTTAGTACTTGCATCATAAAATAATCTTTACAACAAACTTTCTTAACGCAATTTACCTATATAACAAAAAAATATGTTTACATAAATGTAAACATACATACTCAAAATATGAGTACATTATGTAAACAAAGTGTACTCATATTTTCCCTGTACATAAGTACACAATAAGTCCATTCCTTCTTTATTTGAAGGAATGGTACAAAGAACTTAACTGGATGTTCTGGTACAACTTATAGAAAAGGTAAAGGAAACCCCAATATGCATGTACTGCCTTGGTGACCAGGGAAGTCACCCCATGGCTATGAGGAAATTAGCCTAAGGCTTAGCTTTCATTTTCACTGTCTCCAGGGTGTGCTTGTCAAAGAGATATTCTGCCAAGAAGCCAGATTGGGGTGCTCCCATCTTGCACAAGTTGGTCACGTGATCACCCAATTCTTTGATGGATTTTACCTGCTCATTCAGGTAATGTGTCTCAATGAGGTCACACAAATGTGGGTCATTTTTTTCAGTGGCCAGTTTGTGCAGTTCCAGTAGTGACTGATTCACATTTTTCTCCAAATGTGATGCACACTCCATTGCATTCAGCCTGCTCTCCCAGTCATTATGCTCTGGTTACTTGATATCCTGGAGGAAGATGCAGCCACCTCCTCGGTTCTGCACCTTCATCAGTTTCTCGGCATGTTCCCTTTCCTCATGATATTGGTGAAGAAAGTACTTGGCAAAGTTTCTCAAAGCCACATCATTGTAGTCAAAGTAGTAAGACATGGACAGGTAAACATAGGAGGCATAGAGCTCCAGGTTGATCTGGCAGTTGATGGTGGCCTCTGAATCCTGGTGGTAGTTCTGGCACACCTGCGAAGGTGATGCAGTCGTCATGGCAGTGGCTAAGGAGAGGCAGTGATGGCGGTGGCTGCATGGTGCTGGAGAGACGGGGGATTAGGGGCAGTCTGAGGATGTGGTGTGGAGGTGACAGAGGGCTGGCTGTGGGCCGCCAACCGGGGTAGAGGATGAGAGCCAGGTTTAGTCCAAGCACTGTTGAAATGTACTATTTTTTATAAGAAAAAAATGTAATAAAAATTGGACAGTGAGTATTTATAATTCACAGGGCTAAATAGTTACAGTGGAATAGAAATTTAAAATACGATAGATGCTGGAGTAAATATTACATATCATCATCATCTGATTTATCTTCTTCAGAGATTCCTTAGCATATTTCTCTGCTTCTCCCCTTATATCTTTTGGAACAACTTCATGTCTTTCATTAGTTAATTCACCAAACCAGCTGAGTTCTAGTTCAAAAGCTTTATTCTTAACTTCATCATGTACTTTGTAAATTATTTTTGCAACTCCTTTAACAATATCACAGCAGGTCATTTCTTTCATCTGAAGCTTCTCTATTTCCATCTTTGCAGCTTTCCTGGCTTTGCCAATGGCACAACCCCAATAACCATATGAAACACCTGGTGGGTTAATCATGTAGAGTTGTGCACCGTCATTCACACTGTAAACCCTAACATGAAACTGCAGCCAAAATGTCTAACAGCACTGTGGAGTGTATGTGCATGCACATACATGGCCACTCTGCAAGATGTTTTAGTGGAATATTGTAGCCAAAGTTAGATCTAAAGTTGGAAGCTTCTTCTCTTGCTATATCTGCTAAAGAATGAGCATCTGCCAACAAACCTGCTACTGCCATTCCAACATGCCAATCAACATTAAAAAGTCATTTGTTGGAACCTTCTTCATAAAGTTTAGAAAGGACTAATTTTTCTACCCCAAAGACAACAACATCTTTACATCTGATTCCAATAGTTGTACTAATATTTTCCACAACCTTCATAGCAGACCTGGAAGGAGGCTCAGTATCTACATTAGATTCTTGTTTGAAAAATACAGTATTTCAAAGTTGCATGTTTTATTCTCTGCTGTGGTCTTTTTTTTTAATGTTCCCAGGAGCTTTGTTTATAGTAGCCCAAAATGGAAACAACTCAATATCTACCAAAATGATGAATGAATTTTTAAAGGTGATGTATCTATACAATGGAATATTATTTAGCAATATGAAAGGAATTAAGTACTGATACATGCAACAACATGGATAAACCTTCAAAACATCAAGTAAAAGATTCCAGTCCATTTATATAAAATTTTCTGCATATGATAACACATAGAAACAAAGTAGATTCACGTTTCCAGGGCTGAGGGATGAATGAATGGGATGTGACTGCTAATGGATATAAGACTTCTTTTTAGGAAAATGAAAATGTTCTGAAATTAGGTAGTATGCAGGTTATCCTATAAATATACTAAAACTCTATAAGTACATTAAACTCTGAATACATGATAGCTCACTGAAACATATGTTTTGAAATCGTGAATGGTATGCTAATTATATCTCAATAAAGCTGTTACTTCAAAAAAAATCAAGGTCAGTCATCCTCTCTCTGAGATGGTAAATTTGTGAAATGGCTTGTACATCCCCAAACTTACAATTTTCAGACTCTTCTATGACTATGTACACACTCTATCCTTTTTCTGTCTACAAACTTCAACCCACTTTCCCATCTCACTTTGATCCCTTTCCTGTGCTGCACATTTCTTGTTCTTCCTTTATGAGTTGGCTCAAGTTTTATCTCTTCTAGAAAATCTCTCCGGATCCTTAGTTCAACACTGAAGTGCATTTATCTGAAGGTCCAGCTGAACCATACAGACATCTTTATTCTGCACAAATCATTCTCCATTAATCTTCTGTTTATGTGTCGGTCTTTCATTAGTGTATAAGCTTCTTGAAGCATTTGTCTTGTGTTTTGAGGTCTGGCACAGTGCCTGGGACCTGGTGGCAGTCAGAAATATTTACCAAAGAAATGAATGAATGAATGAATGAATGCCTAAAGGCAGAAAAATGAATCAAAGAGTATCTTCAGGCTGAAAGATTCTATGATGTCAGCATATATTTTAATCACAGAAGTGTCTTAGAGTTAAGCCTTAAATACTTTCAATTGTTGAAAAAAAACCTGCTGTATTTATCCCAAGCAGGATGCTCAGCACCAACTAAGGCTCAGGAGCCTGTGGGTGGGGGGCGGTTGGAGGCAGGAGGCCAGCAGAGGCGATGTGGAATTCACACCAAACTCACAAACTTTCCAAACATGTCTGTTTCCTCTCCAGACACTCTTTAGTCTTTCCTCCATCCAGGTGTCGACTCAGGCCCTTCCCTCACTGGACAATGCATTTTTCTCCTAGTCCCCTTCATGAGGCAAAATCCTGTCTCTCAAGGCTTGGCAAGGAGACCATCTCTCAGGAAGCCTTCCCACATGATCCGGTTAGAGGTCAGCTCTCCCACGTGTCTGCCCTTGAGCCAGAGCACAGCTCGCCTTGAAGTCCCTTGTTGTCTTGCTATACCTGATCCTCTCTGCAAACCTGGAGCACTTGTTCTGGGCTGGCTCCTGTTCAGACAGCCCTCCAGTTGCCAAGGAGATCCATGCTCTTATACATATACATATATATATGTATATTTTTTGTATTTTTTACATTTTTTTAATTGATTGCATTTTAGGTTTTGGGGTACATGTAAAGAACATGCAAGATTATTGCATAGGAACACACATGTGGCTGAGATCACGCCATTGCACTCCAGCCTGGGTAACAAGAGTGGAACATTTGTGTACATAAATATGTACAAAAATATATGTATTTTTACAGTACATATATATGTACAGTATATGTATGTACTCATGTGGCAAATGTACATTGTTCCCCACTAGATTTAAAAATATCATTGTATTAGTACATATATATGGATTTGAAAAAAATATACTCTAGACACGACAGATGTATATTGGTTTTTAACAATACGTTTATGTGTGTGGGGGTTTACTTAGTGATTTTTATTTCCCATAGCAAATCTGGTGCTACAGAGAAATGACTTGCTGTTTCTTGTGGTAGGTCCAGGAGGCCCAGGAGGTCCTGGGGGACCCATGGGTCGAATGAGAGGCCATGGAGATAGAGGAGGCTTCCCTCCCAGAGGACCCCGGGGTTCCCAAGGGAACCCCTCCAGAGGAGGAAACATCCAGCACCGAGCTGGAAACCAGCAGTGTCCCAATCCATATGTACTTGTCTTGGCAAGTTGATATCCTTTAAGTGAAGTCACCCTTCCCACACCCCATCCCCACTCTAGAGTGGATTGCTCTGCCCAGGGGAATAGAATGATGACCCTGATGGCTGGTTAGGGGCACTAACCAGCCATTCCCTGGATGCTTCAGAGCCTTCAGAAGATTGATTTGACCTGTCCTGTGGGTGCACTGCTGCCTGAGGCTGTGCCTTGTAGCCTGGGTGTACATACATTCTCTTGATAGTGAGTGTGTACCTATTCACACACCACCTTTCCTTGTTTATCTTCTTTAGTTCAATCGGTGATTTCTGCTGTGATGTAATTGTATGCAGGGGTTGTGGAAACCAGAACTTCACCTGGAGAAAAGAGTGCAACCAGTGTAAGGCCACAAAGCCTGAAGGCTTCCTCCTGCCACCCTTCCTGCCCCCGGTTAGGAGCAGGTTTCATGAGTGTCCCCTCAGCTTCCTGGTGCTAAACTTCTTTTCTTACTTTGGGCTTGGTAAACTCCAGCTGCTCTCTGCTTAAGAACCTTGGGTTGTTGTCGTGTCATTTCTAAATTGTCAGCCAGATGGTGAGATTGAGTGAAATGTTTGGTTTGTTTCTGTCATGAGAGAAGGAAGCAGAGCAGCTTCTGGTGTGTCCTCAGTGTCTCTGCAGCCACCACTGACTGCTGTCGCCCTGCTTTTCTCATCTCAGGTAGTGATCGTGACAGAGGTGGCCCTGGTGGCATGTGGGGAGGAAGAGGTGGCCTTATGGATTGTGGTTGTCCTGGTGGAATGTTCAGAGGTGGCCACAAAGGAGACAGAGGTTGCTTCTGTGGTGGCCAGAGCATGGATGGAGATGGCTTTGGTGGAGGAAGATGAGGTGTCCCTGGGGGCTCCTTGGACCTTTGATGGAACAGATGGGAGGAAGAAGAGGACGTGGAGGACCTGGTCTCTGCGATGCACTGCCTTCACGTAGTTGAGACTGTCCAGGCTGCAGATGTCGTAGATGAGCACGAAGGCATCCATGTCCTGCAAGCTCCAGCCCTTAGGGTCTGGCTACTCCCCAAATCTTCCTCTTTTCAGCTTTCCCCAACTCAGCTCATTTTTTTTTAAGCAAGGTGAACTGGGTTTGTTTTTTTAAAAAACAGGCAAACTGATTTCTCTTTAAAAAAATAAAATCTCTGGTCTGTTAATGTCACTTCAGCTGCTTTTTAAAGTGGCTTTTCTCTAAAATGTTGGAAGTTTTGTCAGGGGGCCTGGGCATGGGGGACTCATGTCCCCCATGAGTGGGTTGTTGTCATGTCATTTCTAGATGGTGGACTTGGAGAAGGAGACCCACAGGTGATGGCTCTCCCCAAGGTCGTGGTTGTGCAGGTCAATGAGGGCCTGGACCACCTCCTCCACCACACCATCTGGATCAGCGCCATCTTGCGGTCCTTCTGGAAGAACTTGAATCCTTTGATGATGCCCCCATTGCTAGAGAAGAGGACCTTGAGATCTTCCTTGGACACTGAGGGCAGGATGTTGGAGAGGTGCAGGCTGGCCGAGGGCAGGAATATGTTCTGGAAGTTCTTGGAACCTGGCTTCTTGAAGCAGTGCAGGGGCGAGTTGCCATTTTCCTTGGTCAGGCCCTGGTACTCCTGGCCCTCACGGGAAAGCTGCACATTCTGGTGCTTCGAGAGTATGATGCAGATGGGCTTCCCGTGCAGCTTGTGCCCGCTCAGGTGGCTCATGGCCAGCTGGGCCTGGTTGCTGTCCACCATCTGCACCAAGGCATTCTCCTTATTGAACAGGATCTTTATGTGCTACATGTCGCCATAGACACCGAAAAGAATAAAGAGGCTTTGGGGTGTGGCTCTCTCTGGGTTGAGGTTGCTGACCAGCAACACAGAGTTTCCTGCCCCAGCCAGGCCCAGAATGGCGATCTGGCCTGCTGCTGTAACTGCCGCTGCCACTGAGGGGATGGCCAGAGGGGCCAGCACTCCGTGGATGTTGGGAACAGAGGCCTGCAGCTTGAGGAATGGCAAAGGTGGGAGGGAAACCAGCTCCTGCATATGGAGAGGCTGAGATTATACCAGGTGAACCGAAGGCTGCAGTCGTGTTCTGGTCCAGCAAGGGCTGGCTGTCCCCGGAGGGCAGGTCTGGGTGCATGTAGTCACGGCTTTTGTCTTTGCTGTACTTGACATTGAGGCTGGTGAGCTTGGAGAAGTCAATGTGCAGTGTGCAGCAGGCGTTGCAGATGTGCTGCCCATCCAGAGACAGCTTGGCGAGCTGGGCACTCACAGGGTCCACATACTGCAGCAGGGACTGGAACTGATTGTTCTTGGTGAAGGTGATGATCTTCAACACCATGCTGAACTTGAAGAAAATCTCGTGCAGCATGTCCAGGGTCACTGGGTAGAAGAGGTTCTCCATGATGATCCTCAGCATGGGGCTCTGCCCAGCCATCATCATTCCTGCATCCACGGCCACCGCTGAGGCAGCCAAGGCCAGCCTGGGCACGTGCCTGGTTGGGCAAACTGTCAGCCATCAGCTACTTGTGGTTGGAGATCTGGATGTAGATGGGCTGGCCGTGCAGCACTGGTGTCATGGAGGTGTAGTAGCTCACCATGGTGTTGGCAGCCTCCTCCGTGTTCTTCTCGGCGAAGGCCTGGTTTTTCCCCTTCAACATCAGGAGATTGGTGACCTTTCCAAAGGGCAGCACCAGGGAAATAATCTCCCCTTTGATGACATCGATGGGGAGCTTCTGAATGTGGATTACTCTAGAGGGGATGCCGGTATTTCTGCTGTTGCCTTTGAACTTCTTGCTGTCATTTCCATTTGCTGCAGACGCTGAGTTGCTGCTCATGATAAATGGTCTGTTGGTGACACAAGTAGAGAAAAGCTCATCAGATCCCTGCTTTGCACCAACTGCTATATCTGGGACAATGCCGTCCATGGCACACAGAGCAGACCCGCGGGGGATGGAGTGGAGGCACTGGAGCGATGGGCTGGCAGAGCTGTACCCAGCCTCCCTGGTAAGCAGAGACTCAAGAAACCTCTTGGGTCCTGTTTTCTGGTCATGTGATCCCAGGGGTGCTCATGGGCCCCTGGGTATCTGAACAGAAGGGCATTGTAGGGAGGGCCACACCCCTGCAGTCTTACTCTGCTGGTGTAGCAGACAGCTGCCCACTCCCACCCCACCCTGCACCGTGGGCTCCTGAGTCGGCAGATTCAGCATTTTATAAATTGTATTTTAAATACATGTTTTAAACTTTTTTAAAAAATTGCAAGTGGTACAACATATATTAATTTATACTATATGTATATAGTTTATTTTATATACTATATATCATATGTAGTATATGATCAATATATGTGTATATATGAGGGTTTTTTTAAATGGTAAATGTAGGGGATTTTATTGCCAATGAAAATGGCTCTAAGTGGGAAAGACAGCTGAAAAGGGGACAGCAGGAAGGAAATCTTCCCCTGGAGTCCAGCCATCCAGACTTTTCTCTGAAGCTGCGCTGTCAAGCAGTCCCTCTGAAGTCAAGCTGCTTTCCTCTGACATCCAACTGTACTCTCCAACGTCCAGCTGCTTTTTCTCCTGCCGGCAAGGCCTGCTTTGCAAACTGGGGCGCTGGGGCTCCCCTTCTCCCGGGAGCGTCTGCTCTGCTCCGGAGACATCCTCCAATGCTGGACGCGGGCTGGGGTAGGGCTGCGCTCACCTCGCTGGTCCACAGGTGGGTGGACAATGAGCTGGGCGACTACACGGTACCAAGCAACGGCAGCAGCAGTGGCGGCGGCTCCCACGAATCCCGGGCGCACCGCGGCGCGTGGGGCTGAAGCCTCGTGTGGACATCGCAGCCGCGCCCATCTGCTTGGCCACCGTGGGGCTGGTGCGCTTGGCCGTGTTCCCGCCGCCGCGCGTGGGGCTGGTGCTGCGCGAGGCGGTGCGCGGGCCGCCGCCGCTGCAGCCGCCTGCAGGGCCTGAAGCGCCACCACAGCAACCACTGTTGTTGTTGTCACCTCCGCTGCCGCCACCGCCGCCGCTCCACATGGGGCTGCCATGTTGCTGCTGCTGCTGCTGCTGCTTCAGCTGGAACAGAACCGTCGCCCATATGGGCTGCAAGCGGCTCCCGGGTTCCCCGGCTGTGGCTACCGCACCACCCCAAAGGGAGCCAGCTGGCATGGGGGACCCATTGCACCTCACCCACTGGGACATGGTTCCCCCCTCCCCAGTGACGGGGCAAGACGGGAGGTTTTGTTGTTGTTGTTGGGCTGCAGGGATAGGATTCTCAAGGCCACAGAGCAGGCTCCCATGTTGGGATGATGAAGCTGGACTCTGAGGTGCGTGGGGAGACTGGGCGGGGGCCGGGACTGGCAGCAACGAGGTGGTGCAGCTGCCGCCTTTTTTTTTTTTCAATCTCCAAATTTTGATATTTTTATTTATTCTGAAAGTCTAAGATATTAAGAATCAGTACATATGATTTTAAATTGACTGTATATGGTTAGAAAAAATGCTTTGAGAACATGTATTTTATTTCCTAAGAAAATAAAACCACGTACAAAAATTTACATTTATGTGTAAAATGCTGTCACTCTATGTATCCACTCATGTGGCATATATACTTATATATGTGTACAAAAATTATTTGTATGTATACAAAGTATATGTGAGTATGTATGTATATATGTAAATTTAGAATTGCCCCCTCAGTAAATGTGTACATACATATATATGTACATATACTTAGCCATATGCAATAAAATTATTTTATGTATATATACATATACAGTATATACTGTATATGCATACATATAAGTACTTTGTACACAAAATGTACTCTTAAAGTTGAGTACTGTACATGCTGACTGTGCAGTTGTCCACAGTCAGCAATGGTGATCTTGCTGGTCTTTTCATTCCTGGACCCAAAGTGCTCCATGGCCTCCACAATATTCATGCCTTCTTTCACCTTGCCAAAACCACATGCTTGCCATCCAACCACTCAGTCTTGACAATGCAGATGAAAAACTGGGGTGCATGTATATACCATTTTGTACATATTTTTTTAATGTACAAAAAGCACTTCTACCCTTAAGTACATCACAGGTATTTTGATGGTGTACCAAAAATGACAAGGGAGTACTGTGTAATACAGTCACTGTTTTTTTTTTCAGTTCCATTTCCACTTTCTTTTTATTTAAATAACTGAGGCAACAGCTGTGGCACAGCAGAGGGAAGCTGAGTTGGGGTGTGTAGGAGGTGGCAGCAGTGTGGCCAGATGGAGGGGGAAGAGTGAGCAGTGATAGGTCACAGTGGACTCCCCACACGCCTGTTAGGTTCAGTGGTCATGGCCATAAAATTGGGGCACTAGGAAGGAGCCATCAGGTAGTAATGTCTCCCCAAGTCCCAGAGACCTTAGGGATGGAAGCTAAGTCAGCTCCCTCAAGTGAGAGGGCCAGGGCATCCCAGTCAAGGGTCATGGGCCCCGGAAGGCATTTTCAGCAGCCCCAGCAGCTGCATTGGCAGCTGCGGTTCACACCGCAGTATTGGAGAACACACCAGCAGCAAATTCTTGCTGGGCCGTCTGAAAGCTGGCACCTGTGCAGTGGTACAAGGAGTGGATCCGTTTTAGCATGACAATTCCTAGCACAGCAATGCCAGTGAAGAGAAGGGCGACCAGCAACATGAGCACAGCTACTGCTGGACTGATATCAGCACCTCCAGAGCAGAGATCCAGCCACTGAATCCCCAACCTGGGATACCAATGGCCTGGAGGACAAACAGCACATCCTGGGCAAAGAAAATGAAGAAACTGAATGAACTGTCACTCTGGAAAGGCTTATACATGGGGCAGTACCAGTAGACAAGGGAGCAGGGTGTGAAAAGGAGGATCCAGAGAATGGAAAGCCCAAAGCCTGAGCCACTTCTGGTTTCCACACAGAACTTGGCCAGGCAGGCAAGAAAGTTCAGGAGAAGAGCCAGAGAGCTGCACATCCAGAGGTAGTACATGGTGGGTACAGTCTTCTGGAAATTCTTGGAGGATCTCCATGGAGATGTCCTGGAAAAAGCAGGGCAGAACTGGATGAAAAGAAGGTAGAGGGGGCCAATTGTTCTGTCGAGTAGCAGGGCCCCCCAGATAGCATGCTGCAGCTCTCACTCCCTTCGGTCCACCTCCTCTGCCTTCCAGTTGAGCTCCTCCTGTTTCTTTAGCAGCTCAGCTGTGGCTGCTGCAGCTGAGGCCTGAGTGCTGTAGGAGCCATAGTTCTTAGATTCTGTGGGGCTGAGCTTTCTCGAGGATTTCAAGGAGGGAGCTGAGGGTGGAGGCAATAAAGCAGGGGCTGGAAGCCCATAGGCTGGCAGTGGCTCCCGGGTCTCAAAAGGGTTGTAGATGTCAAGCATGGCATGCTGCCAGCTGGGTCGGTGCTGGATCACAGCTGGGTCCTGAAAGGAGTTGTCAAGCTCGCTGGACCCGGCAGATGGGTTTCTGCGGTCTCTGCTCTGAGCCACGTTTGCAACTGTGGTCTTCACTGCCCTCCGCCCTCCACTCCCCTGTTGCAGCCTTTTTTTTAAATGCCTGATTGTATTACTATAAATATACAGTAAAAACAAATGGGCCCATCTAAGCACATCAAATGGCAGCACATAAGAGTTCCAGTGGGCCATTCTGCAGCCTGAACTTCACGGAGAACCCTGGCATCAGGACCAATGGCCAGAGGCTGGGGCCTTAGCAGAGCAGGAGGAGAGGTGGGGAGGTGAGTAAGGGGAGGTGCGTTGGGGAGATACCTGGGCTGAGTGCACACACATGTGGGAGCATATGCATATGTGTATGTGTATGCATGCGCATGTGCATGGGAGCATGTGTGTATGCATATGAGTGTGTGAAAATGTGCCTGAGCATGTGTGCATGAATGTGGGAGCATGTGTGTGAGCATGTGTGTATAAGCATGTGCAAGTGACTGTGCATAAGCATGTGTGTGTGAACATGAGAGCATGTAGAGCAGGTGGAGCCTCCTGTGCCTTCCACATGCACACACACTCTCTCACAACAGAGCATATTCGTACCCTCCGGGCCAGCGGGGACACTCAGGCCTAGCCACGCTGGGAGGCCACCTTGGGGCTTGGCCCGAGCCAGGGAAACCCCAGGGCACTGTTCAGCACCTTAGAAGACTCATGGAGGCTTTTGGCCTGCAGATAATGCCCATCTGATGCCTTCTCACTGTTGCCTGAGGGGAGCCATCATGCTCCCCTGGCTACTGTGGGTACCAGCTGCAGGTCCTTGTTTTCAGGCACCTGCTTGGCTCTGGCCCAGGCCCCCACCCCCTCAACCCTGTGCTTAGGAAGTTGAAGTGCTTGGTTCTAAATGTCTAAACAGAAGACATCCCTGTTTCTCTCCCTCCCTCACATGCCAGGGAGCCTGGGCCACAAGGTGCAGCAGGAGAACCCATGGATGGGGTCAGTTGGCCTGCCCTCATCCTCTGCTTCCTCCTCACCATGCCAGGATCCCCCACCCAGCCCACCCACATCTGGAGTCTGGGGAGAGGAGTACAGTCTTGGGTTTCTCAGCCCTGAGCATCCCTTGGAGGGCCTTCAACCACTAATCTCTTCCCTTAAGCCCTGTTACCACCCTTCCAGGAGAGACAAGACCCTGGCTCCCACCGCATTTCAGCCCAGGGTACCCATCAAGGAGCCCAGAACAGTCCCCCCATGTCCACAGCACAAAGTCAGGCTTTCCTCCAAAAGGTGCAGCCCTGCCCCTCCCCATGCATCAGCAGCAGCCCCTCTGCTGTTCCCCAGGGACCTCTCATGCACTGGCCAGGAGGCTGCAGAACGTGTCTTCCCCTCCCTCCAAGAGGTCCTGCTCCCTCTCCAAAAAAAATGGTAAATGTGTTTTAAGTACTTGTCTGCTGTTTTATTTGACCCAAATTTGTGATCGGTGTATCATGATTAAGGGGTCAACTTTCCAGAGATGCTATTATCTTCC